ATCCACCTGCCGTTTTTTGTTAATGTGTTTTCAGATGTTTTTAATAAATTGAACAATTCAGTGTATCACAATTCATATGTACAGTGCATCCTCGCTAGTTAGTGAGGACAAGTATTTTTGTATTAGTATAGATTTTCCCAGCTGCAAATGAACACACTTTCATTATAGGAGAAATAGTTTTGTTAGCTATAATTCAGATGTTAAGTCTGTTTTGTGCAATGTAAATCCCACTGTATATTTCTGATTTCTTCTTTTTTTTTTTTTTTTTTAAATCAAGAATATGTTACTGCAATTGCAGTACACAATTTTTAGGAATGAACATTTAACTGCTCTCCAGAAACTTGACATTAAATCTCAGCAGCTGGTAATTCTTCCGGTAAATTGTAAATTCACACTCCACCTCCTGATGTTGGAAAATAAAATTTTCAGTACGTGCTGGACATTGGGAGAAAATACTCTGCTTGCAAGAAATTGTTACATTGTATGTAAATAAAATATTTTTTACAAATCTTTAGCTTCCTAATTGGTTGTACATTTAATATACCTGCAAAATGTGTAATATGTTGGATAAACGGTTTCAGACAGCACACAACACTTAAAGCAATTCTTTGATAATTAGAGCATGTCTTTCATACATGCCTTCTTTTCAGCTTAATGTGTTCATGCTCCTTAAATTGATTAATTGTGCTTTGTCTTGCTAATAATTTACCTGTGTTGTAGAGCCTTATGTGTTTTACAGCAGACTTTTTTTTTTTTTCTTAACATCCCTTGGAAGATGCAGGAATTAAGCTCATCTAAAAAGTTTCTTGAATTTATTTGTGCCATCAGCAGACATGGTAGGGAATTCCACTTTTTTACTACTTGCATGGTACAAAAAAAAAAAACCCTTGCAAAATCTGAGATTAAACCGCCTCTCTTCTAACCTTTTCTTGTGTCATCAATAGAGTGCTCGTAAACACCTTGTTCCTAATATTGTGATCCCCATTAATGATTTTGAAAATTGCAGTTAAGTCCCCTCTAAAGTACCTTTTTTTTTTCTAAGGAGAAAAAGTATAATTTCTTCAGACGATCTTCATAGCTCGGGCCTCTCATCCCCTTTATTAATTTTGAATTCTTTGAACACTCAAGTTCGAGGATGTCTTTCCTGAGGGTTGGTGACCAAAACTGGACTGCATACTTGAGGTGAGGCCGAACCAGTTATTTGGCAAAGGATAAAAACACAATTTTACCATTTTATAAAATATCTATTTTGATGCAGGATAGTATACTGCTTGCATGGCTGGCCACTGCTAGGCATTGCATGCTACTGTGGAGTCTGTGATCTATGAGTACCCCCAGGTTCTTTCTCAATGTCTGACTTCCCCAATGGAGCACCCCCTAAGTAATAGTTTGCACACGTGTTCCTTGCTCCCATGTGCATAACCTTACATTTTTCAATATTAAATTGCATTTGCCATGCAATTTTATGTAGGTCCTGTTGAATTGAATCTGTCTTCTTGAGAATTTACTGCCCTACACAGTTAGAAGAAATATTCTGCTCCAGAAATGCTACCCCTGAGCTGATATCCCCAAGCTCATGCAAACGGGTATATTTATTGAGGTGTAACAGCTCAGGTCTAGACTCTCTGATGCTTTTTCCCCCTCCCTTCCTGCCTTCTGACTGTTACCCAGCTACCCACCTCCAGGTCCCACTGCTCCAAGATTTCACCCTCCTCTATGCTTGGCCCTGCCAGTACCTGGTGGGTTAGGTCAAAACTCTTCATGTTATTAATGCTCCTCAGTGTTGCCAGGTAGTTTTTTAGATCCAGAATCTAGGCTTCCAAACAAACCACTTACTCGCATCTCGCACAACAGTATGCGCCCTTGAGCTGTTGCTCAAGGAATGCATACATTGAGCACGATGTGCGCTGAGTTGCATTAACACCCATGGGGGTCATATCACTGGTTTATGTGGTTGTCAAAATGTATTTATTTATTTAGCTGGTCAGTTGATGTTATCACAGAGATGTCCCACAAATTTCTGCTGATTATCACAGTAAAACAAACCTGATAGGGGGCGTGGCCAGGACATGGAACTGTGAGGACGTGCAGCGTGTGAGCTCCGTGCCTCGAGGGCCGATTTCGCAGTCTAGCGTGACATTACCGTGTCCTTTTCAGGACAATGTCGAAGAAAAAGAAGGGTAAGGGGACCCCCCAAACTCTTGACGAAACCAGACTTTCGCAGATTCTTTACTCAGCCTGAGTCCGAGCCGAGGGCTGTTGTGGAAATTTTACTAGGATGTGTTTTCAGTGTAATATTGTCATCATGTCTCAGTGTCCGGATTTCTGCGTCACGTTCGATTGGAGCGTGACCCGGATTATTTGGCACTGGGAATAAACCATTGGAGTGGATATGCGTGGTGGAACACTGTTTTCTTGGCGAGTGTGTGGGAGCCAGCTAGGGCCCCTGAGCGGTGCGCGGATTTATTGGTTTGGCGTGTATACATTTGCTTTGAGAACATAGTATTATTTAAGATACATATCTGCCTTTATGAAAGGAACGTGCGTTGGTATTTCTGATGCGTCTGATCAGCATGCTGGAAATGGTATGGCATTGTCCCTGCAGATAAGCTCCCATCAATGCGAATCATAATAACTTTATTGGGCATTGCTCACTGAGCAATGCTGGATAAAGTTCGCTCCAGTGTTAACGGAGATTAAAGATGGCGGCGTCCATGTGCAAACATGCTGCTTCCTTTTGTGTAAGTGTTTTTGGCGGGAAATCCATTGTTGACAAATGTGCACGTGAAACATGAACTAGCAGCTGGTAACTGTGCACGGTGCTTCACATGCACGAGCATACCCTTCCCTTTTCTATTATCTATTCAGATGTATACATGTGTTTTATTGGCTGGCTCTGTATTTTATTGTATGAGGAAGTGGTGGTTGTTGTGGCCGGGACTTCCTGTGTTACCCCTATAAATAAAGTCTTCCTCAAGTGAGGACAGCGACTGAGGATATGACGAATAAAAGTAATTCACCGGCACACACTTGAAGGGTTTTTAAAGTATTGATATGTTTATTCAATACCCAATGTCACATACTGTCATACAGTGCTAACGTTTCGGGTCCGCACAGGGATCCTTCATCAGAGCGACAGGTGAGCGACAGAGTGGACCCGAAACGTTAGCACTGTATGACAGTATGTGACATTGGGTATTGAATAAACATATCAATACTTTAAAAACCCTTCAAGTGTGTGCCGGTGAATTACTTTCTGTCCCGTTCATTAAAGGACACAGGGAACAGATCGGAGATCATGTACTGTAGGGTAATATCGCCACCTGCAGGAGAAGGACGCTAGGCACAAAAAAACTAAAGACCAATTACAGCCTAGGGGCGGCCCCTGCCAGTGGCCAAACCCCCCACCTGCTGACAAGTCTCCAGTTTTTTGCCTAGCGTCAGGAGTAAGGAGCTAAGAATTTTTTCTCGGTATTCTTACCTGCTTCTTCCTGGTTTTTTTTCAGAAGATTCTTCTAGCAAGTGTTGTCTGGGCGACAGGCTGGATGTCTCGGATCCTTGGAGTCTCCCCTGGATGACCAGTGAGCGTATGCAGGCCCGCTGCGGTGGGTCGGCTACGACGGCCCCGCTCCGGCGTGGTGGCCTGTGGGTTAGTCCCAGGGGGGTGCATATGACTGGGGGTCTCGGCCGCCCAGTCACAGCACTTCCCTCAGGGTGCTGGCGGCTGCGGTCGGGGGTGCCAGGTTTCCGCAAGCACCTGTGGGTTTCTTTAATGTCCCCTGCGCTGCTTTCGGCATGGAGGGGGGTGCCTGGAGATCACGCCGGGACGCAGTCGGGTGAGGACGCATTGGGACGCTTGGGTTCAAGTGCTGTAGGAGGGTCGTCTGCCTGCGGGTCTGTTGCTAGGGGCAACTTCAGCGACAGGCCTACGGACGGGGGCGGTGCCTGCTGGGGTCTCCTTCCTTGCCTGGGGTTCTGGTGGCATATTTTTTTGCCTGGGACATGGACTGTGGGGACAAACTGGACGCAGTGCCCTGTGAGGGCTGCGGCCTCTCTTCAGGGACGGCCGGTCCGGGTTCAGTCGGACAACGCCGTGCATGTTCCGGCTCTCTCCGCCGTGTACATTCCGGGCGTGGACAATTGGCAGGCCGACTATCTCATATGACGAGACAACAGCGAGTGTCTGCGTTTCCTTACTGAGCGCGTTCAGCCAAATTATACAGGGAAAGCAGAGAACTGTGCTTTTAAGCGCAGCGGATTTAAATACGATATTCATTTCTACAACAGATGGTGAGCCAGCCAGGAGCCGACAGAGTTTTCTTCACAGCTGACCAAGAGCGGAGAGCGAATTTGGATTCAGAGGAACAAAAGGCCGGCCATTGGGTAAATAAATGTATTTCAACTTTTGAAATGTTTTTGTCAGAACCTGCTCTCTCTGTCCGCTGTCAGGTAAAATTCTGCTCAGCAAAAGAACCTCTTTTGCGTCTGCTCTCTTTGTATAATTTTGGGGTTTTTGGGTTAATATTTGATACTTGGGATAGGGGTATTGATCAAGGAGAAAGCCTGTACTGCTGTCCTCTATAGCAGTGGTCCCCGGGCCCGCGGACCAGTACCGGTCCGTGGATCAAATCGTACCGGGCCGACCAAGGAACATTAAATTATTTCCATTTTATTTACTGTGGTGTATTTCTCTCGGGTTTGTCCGACTTTCCAGGACAAGAGGTTAACCGGGAGCTGAGAGACGTCACCTAAAGCCGCACCAAT